TTTTTTCTAAAAGATTTCTAGATTGTCTATCCTTACAGTATTTGGAAATTCCATATTTGGTAATAATCCTGACTGTAATAGTAAACTCCGTTTTGAAAACAAATATTAATAAATGTTATATATACAATAAGAATTATTACCAGATAGCTGTATAGCAATAGACTGTCATTCAACCATAATAGTTTTGAAGATTATTAGTAATATATTATTACATTATATATATATTTATAAAATAATATATTTATCATGTTTGTTTGATCAATTGAATCACATAAATAAATACCTTCATCATATACTCCTTCATCTAAAATATCTTTGCCATACATTTTTTTTTGGTCCAAAGCAATACCTTCTTCAACATATACCTATATTAAATTGCTTTAATAAAATATCATGATAAAGTAGATTAATACATCCACCATATATTCTTTTTGGTTGAGTCATCTAAAATATTATGGTATGAAATGAGTTCATTATATGGATTTTTATTAATAAATTTTTACATAACCAAAAAATTTGATTTATCCACATCATGTTTTGATTAATCACATAAATAAAATACCACAGCAAGATAAGAGCATATAGAATAACACCTTCGCCATATACTTATTTACCAAAAAAATAGTCCTTTAAATTGAAGAAATACTACACAGTAAGAAAATCTATTAAATAATATAATTTATAGTTATATATATTAGAAAGTGATCTTTGCCTTGACTTTCAAAATCCTATGTATTAAAAATAAGCAAACTATTATTAATGTTATATCTATAAAGCACCAAAAAATATATAATACATAAAGGCCCAACTATACAGTAAGCCTCACTTCATCATATAAAATTTATTGAAAAGCAATTAGTAATTTTGGTATAATGTCATCTCCCCATACATAGATTTGTTGAAAGTTTTTTTTTGTTTTTAAGTTGGTTATGTGATCAACATGTCAATCAATCATATTAAAATTAATATAATAGTGTTACATTTTCATTTTTATGCATTATAATTTTTTTTAAAAAAAAATATGAATTAAAATATGAAGAGGAGAAACTTAGGTGTATGTAAGTATTATATGATAATTATATTACCTGATTTGAAATTTTAATTAGACAGGTAGGGTTTGTATTCACGGATACCATAAGGAGGTCACACAGGGTTACACACTATTAAAATCAAGTGTTTTTAAGGGATTTTTTGCTGATTTATTAGTATGTAACCCCCTTAACAGTATTCATGGTATCCGTGAATACAAACCTTATATATACTCGAAAATGTATTTAAAGGGTTGGTTTTTGACTTGGTTGGATAATAACTCTCTTCCTAACTCTTCTCTTGACCATATCTCTTGATATAATCAAAATAACCTTAATATAACAAATGTCAATGAAATGATTGTAAACACAACAAATTTAAGATACATGATTGTGATGAAAATTGAACAATGTATGAAAAATCAAACAAATTTATTTAATAAAAACAAATTTACAACCAAAAAAATTTTTTTTCATGTTCTAATAAAATTTCCATTGTTGCTGTCATCAGTTGCTGATTCAACATTGCCCAGATCATCACAACTGTATTTTCGTTATTTTCGATAAATTTAATATTTTTCATCATACTTTCTTTTAGTGTGTTGACATTTTTTTGATTTCGACTTGAAGATAGTCCAAGATATCAAACATTTAGATTGACACCTTTGTAGACAATTGTGATAACATGAGTACACTACAATTATTCAAATTAGTATAATTAGTGTAATCACATTATATGTAATTGCAAAAAATGTTTGTAGATAGTTTCCTAGCAGTATTAAAGGATACTGATTGTCTCTGGATGTGAATCTATGATAATCGTCAACATTCAATAAGAATGTATTTTTTAAATATTTTGTAAGTGCATTTCTCATGTTCATCTGCAACTTGCTTCTTTTTACGATCTACTGCTCTTGATGTTGTTGTTACTCCAAGACTTGTATCTACCGAGTCTAAATAGAATGCAAGGTCGAACTTAAAAGAGTTAATTTTTGTATTATTTAAAACAAGATAACACATGAACACTAAAATGGCCGAGCTGCTAAATAGAGTTGGTCAAAAAACCCCTTCAAGCTTGCTTCTATTTCTTGTAGCAATCAATCTTTTCACTTACCTCTTCCTCTTCCTCTTCCCCTTCCGCATCTATAGTTTTTATCTCCTAGGTTCTCTTTTTAAAAGATTTTCTACAAAATTCATATAACAAATGTTACATAAAACAACACATTACTTTCACTAAGTTGTTGCTGATAAACTTGTGAAAAAAATATTTTTTATAACCAATGGTATTTTTTTTGAAGTTTTAGAAAAGATACCTTTAAAATATCAAAAGAAGGTCGAGGATTTTTTTTACAAGCATGTAATTTTAACTAGGATTGATTTGTGAACTTTATATATACGTGCAACATTAATGGTCCCAATTATAATTACAAGGTAACGCCCGAAGTGCCTCTTTTTTCTGTGATACACTAAAAAGATTTTATTTTTAAAAAAAAATTTTTTTTTATTGATAAGCCATTAATAAGAGAAAAAATAAAAATGCAGATTTTCGTAAAAACACTCACTGGTAAAACCATAACTTTAGAAGTCGAAAGGTGACTTTATTAAAATGTTCCTTTTTTATAGCTTTTTAAGCCAAGATGTCTATAATAAAATCTTTTTAATAATATAGTTCCGATACCATTGATGCAGTAAAAGCCAAAATTCAAGATAAAGAAGGTATTACAAGCTGTTATTGATGATAATTATAATAAATATTTATATTATATTTGAATGAATTTGCGATGAATTGGATGAATTATTAATGTACTATTTTTTTTTAGGTATCCCACCTGACCAACAACGTTTAATATTTGCTGGTAAACAGGTAAAATTAAAGACAAAAGATGATTTATTATTTTATTATTTAATAATACTTAATGATACTTTAATTTGTAGCTTGAAGATGGTCGTACATTGTCAGACTATAATATACAAAAAGAATCAACTTTACATTTAGTATTAAGATTACGTGGTGGTATTATTGAACCATCCTTGAAGGCCTTAGCTTCAAAATACAATTGTGAGAAAATGATTTGTCGTAAATGTTATGCTAGATTACCACCTAGAGCTACCAATTGTAGAAAGAAGAAGGTAAATTTTGAATTTTGTGAGATGGCGATTTTTTTTTCTTTTTGTTACTTTGCATTTAATTTATTAATTTATGACTTTTATTTTATCATTTAGTGTGGACATTCTAATCAATTACGTCCAAAAAAGAAACTTAAATAGATTTATTATTCTTGTTGTCAAACTAATTTAATAAATAGGAAACGTGTATCTTTGATCACAATTTATTAAATAAATTCTATTTGTAATTTTGTATTTATCATTGACAATCACTAAACTACGATATTAATGATTGAGTCAGTAGTAGTAGCACAAGCTAAACCTTATCAAAGGTGATTGACTAGAGTTAAGATAGCCAATGATGGATTGTGTGAAAATATCTGGTCGCTTGTTTTCATTTGCTGTCATCTGAGTTGCAATGAAATGAACATCTATTCACAATTTTTTTGCGTTTGAACACAGAAATGCAGAGGACTGTCAAGGCTTCCATTAATTTTTTCTTACATGTATTCTAATGTCAACATATTGCACTTTGAAAATTCTAAACTCGGGGATCTTCAAAACTACAAGATGTCGTTTTCCTTTGGTATGAACATTAAAGTGCCCAAGTGTCATTTATTTTAAAATCATTTTTTCATCTTGTTCTTCAAAATATTTCTGATTGTGTACTATAATTCTTGGGTTCCATAATAGCCATCAACTCTGATGCAATCGCCACTAGCCAAAAATGGGGACCTACATCGCCAAGCAACTACAATCCCAACAAAAGGATAATTGTCAAATTTGGTGATGCAACGTTGAAGCTTATCTAAGGAATCTAAGGAAAGAAAGGATTATACCTATGAAATTTATCAAGAAGAAAGAAAATTATAACCAATAAACCAATAATACGTATTTCCCTTTTTCCAAATTCCCGTAATACTACATGGGGTCAGTACAGCATAGTGGAAATTTTGAAATGTTACATTAATTTTTTATATTGTGCAACATAACTTTACAATACACGGCAAACATTCTGGCAATAGATAAACTGGATTTAAACAATTTAGAGAGAGAGGTAACAACTATATATATACCGGCGAAGTTTCAGGTCCACTATTCTGATCAGTACTAGTTCACATCATTTACCGAATTATTATAAAAACGACTTTTACAAAAATCTCCATTAATGATTATATTGTAGCGAAGACTTGAATTATAAAAAGCATGATTAACTAGTCAATGAATAAAGTTTTAGTTTTTTCTTAAAATTGATAGTTCTGCTCTAAAGCAGTCAAAGAAAAAAAAATCCAAGATTTATTACATCATAAAAGCCTGTTGATTACATTTTTTATTTATTTAATAATAATGAATGGTAGTAATTTATTAATACTAATGCTTTTTATCGTACGAACCACGAATTAATTTTAATAACAAACTTTTAGTTGCAGCAGCTGGAATAATTCATTTGGGACAACAGAAAATGGAGATTTAATTATTTACATAATGGTAGAAAGAATTAAGTATATATAAAGGTCTACCAACTTTGAGTTCAACCAGCTTGGCTCCAGGTTAGAATAATAAAGATAGATAAATAGATATGTAATATATGGATAATTGATGACAAAGTGATTTAGATTTAATATTAAGAAATTTTTGAACATGAAAAAAAAAAAATAGTTGTTGACATAATTTTGGTTTTATTTGTAATTAAAAAAAAAACTTTTTTTGCAATTTGTAATAACAAATTTTATTATCATAAATGAAAATGCATCATAGCTATATAATGCTTTTTAAAGAACCTTGAAAGAATACCTGGTGTTTAGAAATGCAAAATAATAATGTGTATTAATTATCCGTTGACATAAATAGACAGTGATATTAAACAAAACAATTTCATACCAAATTAAATTTTAAATTTAAATTTTAACCCAAAAAAGGTGATATAACTAATTATATTTTTGCGACACGTTTTACGAAAATTTTAATTTATCAATGGATCAAAGTGTTACAAAAAATTCAAAATAAAGTTTCATATCTTTAGTAATATATATCATACATATCATATGGAGAATTTCTCAATGAAAAAAACTTCACTAACGTATTAAAAATTTCATTGTTGATTTATTTATATTTATATATAATATTATGCCATTTTTGAATTCTATTAATTTTTTTTTGACTATTTAGAAATCCAAATGATAGAAATAAAAATACCAGATATGTTGAATATCAAATAGACCATGATGGAAATGATGATAATTATGAAGTGGATAACGATGGAAACGGTGATGACGAGGAAGATACACATAGAACAAGTAATAGTAAACAAAATTCTTATAGCGATAAATATGTAACTGGTCAAAAACATTATCAACTTAAATCAAATACTCAGCAAACAGTTTCAAGAAAAGGTTATTATGACAATTTTATTTTCGAATATTATAAACTTAGATATGGAGATAATTTTTTAAGTAGTGATATGAAAGAACATAATGTGAATTGGGATGATGATACTTCTAATGGTTCTGATGACGATGATGATGATGATGATGATGATTCAGAAATTGAAAAGAATCAATCTGAATTTCCTTTAGATGATTTTGATGGCGATAATACAGTAGTGGATTCTAACCCTTCAACCGTGACAAATAGTGTCAAACTATCTGCTGAAAAGCAAAGAGAAAGAAAAGATTGGCAAAGTTTTTTATCATCTGTGTTAACTGGCGAGGTTATAAAGTCTGAGAAACAAAGAATTAATTCAAACACTCGTCAGGCTGCAAATAATAATAATCAAATTTGGTTAGGAATTCGAGCTGTTACTCATGGTTATCAACTTTCAGAAGAAAAACAAATTTTGGATGAAAAGAGACGTCAAATTGATGTCACGCTTAAGGAAGTAATCAACTTTCAAGTACAGCTAAATGATGTTTCAGCTCTCGTTCAAGTTACAGAATTACTTCAAAAAGTTGATTTTTGTGAAAGCCTTTATCCAACACGAAAGGCAATGATGTCTGACAAGCCTTTATACAAATCAGAAAATTTTCAATATAACTTAGATGCATTAAATTCATGGTTAACAATAACTAGGAGTTTACAGACCCAACTAAAAATTCTGCAAGATTGGACCGGTAGTAAAAATTTAGAAATCACAAAACCAAAGGATTCTCCGGCCGATGCAGAAAATCCTTCTTTTTTAGAAAGAATATTGAAAGAAAACAGTTTGAAACAAACTTTTGAAAAGAAAACACTTTCCACATTGAATTCGCTTTTATCAAAAGCTAAGCGTGTAATGATTGAGAATGCTGATTCATTCGTTAAAATGAAATTACCCCCGTATATCAACGAGTTTCAACAGCTTTTAAACTTTCCCACAAAACTTATGGAGGAATGTATGAAGCTTTTACTTGAAATCTCTGGCCGTTTGACGGATCCAACGATGCTCATGATCCAACAAAGGATGGATGACTTTCGTATTTCGCTTATTTTGGCCTGTCAAATCAAACTTCAATATTTAAAATTAATAACACCAGCAACTGGGTGGGAAATTCCATCATGTATTGATGAAAATTATAACACTGTCTTACTAGAATCTTTAAAATTTTATTTAAAATTGTTACAATGGAAGGTTAAAGGTGGTTATAAAACAGTTTTTTTTAAGGAAGCTGAAATATTGGAAAATGAATGGTCATTTGTAAGTGGTATTTGTCGTGATATTGCTGGTGGTGAAATTGAGGTTGCTGAACAATTTTGGTATGGTTTATTTTTTTAATTTTTTTTTAAAAAAAGGGTTATCTAACAAATAAAAAATTTTTTGTCTTTTTTTACTAATTTATTTGTTTAAAAAAATTTTTCTGCAGTACACTTACTAACAAGCTACTTCAAAGTGTTTTAACTTATTATGAATCAAAACTTGAACTACCAAAAAATATTGATGCGGCAAACATTTATAAATGGTATAATAAAATTTTGGAAAGTGTACGTTTAAGGTCTCGTAAACTACTTCGATTCATAAAGTACGTATGGATTTAAATTATCATGAAATAAACAATAAATTTATCGGCCCAATTAATAAAATAAATAAATAATAAATAAACAGGCTTTTATTCGGGGAGCTTGAAAATTCAGCCGAATATTTTATCGATGACAACAATTTTCCATATTTTATAAAAGACTTGGAGAACACCAATCACGTTCTTGTCTATCCAGATACTTTTAATGAAGATAATGTCTGTTTTATTGTTGAACAATCTCTTTATAATCGATCAGAACAAATTCAAAAATTACTTAAAGTTATACTGACACCGTATGAAAAAGATGATCATGAAGAAGAGTTGAAAGGCGCAGAGTACATACTTGTTTTGTCGCCAAGAGTACCTTTTGAATGGAATGGCTCAATTATGGTTGTTTCCTTGGGAAATTTAAATATTGAACTTAAAAATCATCACACAAGGCTTGTTGCTAATGGTTCTTATACTCGATTACAAGCATGTAAACAAAAGTTTCGTGGTGTGGCTGAAAACTGTAATATCAAAGTATTATTAGAAACACGTGCAAATGTTCCAAGTGTGAATCGTGAAATGTCAAAAATCAAAAAGACTATAATAAAATTAGTGAATATCATTATTGATAGTATCAGGAAAATTCGTGAAATGACAAAAAATCTTCAATGTCAAGAGCTGATTGAAAATTGCTTCAGTTTTGCAACTGAAATCGGTCAACGATGTATGAAATATTTGGATAGAGATGCTGTACGTAATCAATTAAACGTGAAATTAACCCGCATGGCTATTGACTGGGTTAGTTTCATATGCGACGATTGCGTTCCCACAGATCGTAAAACTTTTCGATGGGCTGTCATAGCTTTGGAATTTGCCATGGTAGCAAATCGTGGAAGTAATATTTTTGGCTTAAGCGAAGAGGAATTTAGTTTGCTTCATAACAAAGTCGCGTGTTGCATGGCTTTATTAATTTCACATGTAGACATTTTGGGCGCAAGATCGTCATCACACGAAGCCAAAGAACAAGAAGAAATTATTATGGGCAAAGAATTTTCAAAAGCACCTGGTTCCGCAAAAAATAAAAACTCCAGTGATTTTTCTTTGAGTGACTCTGAGAGTTCGTTGATTGTTCGAGAAGAATGGGTGGTTTCTTTAAAAGAATTAGAAGCACGGCGGTCTCAAAAATTGCAAGACTTGAGGCTTGTTGGGAAAGTTCTTGATAATGATCAACCTGAGAATCGACCACTTGTTTTTTTAGCTTCATCAAGTTCCAACATTTCTCTACGCTGGCAGCAAGGAAAATTCATAGGCGGTGGAACTTTTGGCTCAGTTTATTTGGCCGTTAATTTAGATACTGGTGATTTAATGGCAGTCAAAGAAATCCGTTTCCAAGACCCCTCGTCTCTTTCAACTTTATACAAGTCAGTTAAAGAAGAAATGTCTGTTATGGAAATGCTTGACCACCCGAATATTGTTTCATATTATGGCATTGAGGTACATCGAGATAAAGTATACATATTTATGGAGTATTGCCAAGGAGGTTCACTTGCCTCTCAATTAGAACATGGTCGCATTGAAGATGAAAATGTAATCAAATTTTATGTCGTGCAAATGTTACAAGGCTTAATATACCTGCACGAAAATAATATTGTACATAGAGATATAAAACCTGATAGTGAGGCTTTTTTTCAATAACTTTTTTTTTTTTGAAATATCATTTTCATTTAGCCCAACTAATAATCCCATTTAATTTTTTCTAAAGACATACTGCTAGACCATATGGGATGTATTAAATTTGTTGATTTCGGAGCAGCTAAAATACTAGCCAAGAATCAAAAAACAATGGGTCGAACAACCATGGGTCAAAAAACACACGTTAACAGCTTAACTGGTACTCCGATGTATATGGTTTGTAGTTGATAAATATATAGATGTAGATGTATTGTTAAATAATATTAACATTTATGAATATGTGTAAAATATATTAGGCACCAGAAATTATAAAGGGTGGTGAAAAGGGACGAAAAGGTTCTATGGACATATGGTCTTTAGGCTGTTGTATTTTAGAGATGGCTACTGGTAAACGTCCTTGGTCCAATCTAGATAACGAATGGGCTGTTATGTATCACGTAGTAACTGGACATCCACCGTTACCAGATCCATCACAAATATCAGAATTAGGAATGGATTTTTTGAAAAAATGTTTTACGAGATCAGCACAACAACGTCCTTCGGCCAAAGAATTGATTAAACATCCTTGGATGGCTGGTATAATTGAAACTGGTGATGTAAATACAACATGGCCTATTGGTTTCGGTGTTGGCGGTGGTAGTTACTTTAAAGACGCCACTTGCCTTAGATGCAGTCGCAAACACCTTAAATGCGACGATGGTACAATTTGTGCAAATTGTAAAATAAAAGGAGAAGCATGTGTTAGAGAAAAGAAGAGCAAAGAAGAAAAAACGGGATTAATTGATCCTCCAATTATGCCTTCACAATAAAAGAAAAAATGTTAATAATAATCATGGTAATAATAATAACAATAATGTAATAATGATAATGCTAATAACAATAATACTAATAACAATAACCATTATATTTCATCAAATATTTTAAAATTAATATCACGCGCACTAGGATAGAAGCAGAAAGGTCATTTTTGAATCGAGGCCTATTATTAATAGAACCGGTTAGTCTTTAACACAGACACTGAGGACCAGTTTCGTCCTAGCCCTACTAATAATTCCTATATAATTCATACAATATTATCACTAACACGTTTTATAATAATAGACTTGTTCTTAACAGTCTAAATTTGACATCCAAAAACTCCGAATTAAATTATTTATTTGTAGAATTAAAAATTCAATAAAATTTTTAAAATCCGTGTTTGATTGGTAGTGTGTTCTGTTTGGGTATTTCTTTAATGGATGAATAAATAATATTTTGTGATGACCATTTGTTAACATTCACCTTTAGAAGATAGTACGTATTGATTATGAAAATTATGAAACAGCAGAATCAGTTTCTGTAATAATATTATAATAATGATAAATAAAAATTTTATTTCAAAATTATAATAAAATTACTAAAATTAAACAAAGCTCCTTTATAAATAATGCTCAAACCCATATCCCAAGGCGAATAATGGCCTGAATATAAAATGATAATTATATATATGTGTATGTGTGTGTAGAAAACTCGAATAAACGCCATTGGTCTAATCATAAATTAATATTATTAAAAAAATAAAAAAATAAAACATTAAAATATTAAATGGTTAGGAGAAGTAGGAAACTATTTGACTATATTTATTCTTGTGTATTTCGGATTGGCAAGAAATTTCCAACGATTGCAGACTAAATAGTATATAACATATATATATATATATATATTAATTAACAAAATTGTTTTGTTTTAATCGAAAAAAAGAATAAAATAGATGGCATACTTACTGGGCTAATGATTAATCAACATAATATTTAAATGAATTATATAAAATAATGGTCAGTGCTGATCAATAAATAATTATACAAGAATATATTTAAAAAACTCATACATACATATTATATTTATCACGGCGAATTGTAAATGAGAAACAATATGATGCATAACTATGAATATTTTGACCTGGACCTTTTAATAAACATGATGTTAAAACAGCTTTTTGACCTGCATCAAATGCTATTTTACCGTATTTCTAAATTATTATTATATTAATTTAATAAATTATATAAAGAAAAAATTTTATTTTTCTTCTTTCCTAAATATAAAAATCAACAAACCTCCCAATAATTTACAGCCGATTCTTCCATCATTAGCTTTAAAAATAAATTATTTTAATTAATAATTTTATTATGTAGAGCAAATAATAATAATTAAATTATTTCATTACCTCATAAATACATAGTCGCCCTTCTTTTAACATTTCAAAGGGAACACCCACAAGTGAAGCAAATTCTTTATTACCTTTATATATTTCACCTGTTCTGCGCCATAAACAAGCAGGTATTCCCATAGAGCTGAATACCCTATCGTAATCCTATAATTTTTACGATTAGAAAAATTGGAATAATATTTGACTATGAATAATATATATATATATATATATTGCTAACCAGTAAAAGACGTTCAAATCCTTCTTCAACCAAAATCAAATCAATGTCAGTTAATGATTGAGCAATCCTTCGAAAGGAAGGTCTAAAAGTACATAGAGAATTTCCAATTCTCATCCGATTTAAATTTGACATACTAAAATTTTCAAAGGAAAACAAATCATAATGAAAAATTATTCCAATAATTATTTGATAATAAAAATAATCTTTGCACCTATATATATATTACTAACTTCTTTTCCATATATTTTTGTAAACGCGTGTACCCGTTTACATAATTATATGGTTTTAAAAGGCCGGCTTGAAATTTTGCATTAATCACTTGAGTAAGTCGGTCTTCAGAAGTGCCATCTGAAGGATCCGCTGCTGTTAAAAAAAATTTTGTGGTGTTATCTAATGAAGAACGAACAGGATCATGTAAATTATGCCGGTTTCCATTTATGTTCTCTAAAAAATCTCTTTATGAAGAAATCATAAATTTTTAAAATAATAAATAATTTGATATTTTATTACAATTAATCGATTGATCATTGGATGGATTGTTAAACCTTACGTCAGAACTGTAAATTCATGACCCATATCTTCACTAGCAAAAGTTAATGGAAATTGTGAATATTCTGTGGTATGAGGAAAATTTTGCATAGCTATGTTTGAATAAGTGTTTTGATTCATGCCTGAAATTGATCAAAGAATTTTTAATGAGTGCAATGAATATTACAAATAATTTTTTAATAATAACTCACCATTTGAAGTAGCTGCAGACATTGTTAAAAGATTAGGTTGTACTACGTGAACAGGAGGGTTTTGGATTTTTTGTAAATTTTGTGTGCCTTTTGGTTCATCATGACAAAGATGTCCAATATTACGTTTTATACATCGTTGACAAGGACGACCTATATAAATAATCTTAAAATTACTACTATAAATCACTATAAGAAAACCAATCAAACACAATTTGGCAAAAATATATAAATATATATAATACTTACCCTCATCACATGTCATGTGTGATCGTCGGCAATAAACACAAGCTATCAAAAAAAAAAATTATTTATGTAAACTTAAATATATAAATATGCAAATTGTTTTGAATTATTAAAATAATACAGTACCATGAGTAACTTTTCTTCTTTTGGGACCAGCTCTCTTCTTTTTTGCCTCTGATTCTTTTGCCTGAGCAGAAGAATTATTAGTGTTGTTGGGATTATTGGAAGACATTTCTGGATGAATTTCTGTGATTGATCAATGATGTTGTTATCAGAGAGACCATGAATGTTTGGTGAGCCTCTTCAATCAATTGCACAATATTGCCAAAATTTAGAATATTTATCAATTTTATATGATGATGATATATTTAGTATTGATCAATTTTTAATATATTCGACTTGCTAAATTTGGTGAGTTGATAGAAATTTTAAAATGCCTTAAGTGGGCATGCTGCAACAAAACCAAAGTGAACATTGGTATTACCAAGGATTTCAGGGATCACATGAACATTATATATTTGGTGTGCAAAGTCACTTAGTCACTGAACTTTTTGTGCCACGACGCCAATTTTGAGATAAAAAATTTATTATCACGTGATTTTGAAGATTGTCAAGTGCTCAAAAGTTCCGAACGAATCGAATCGAGTCGAATTTTGAAGTGATTCAATTCGATTCGAATTTTTCAAATCAAATCAAATCATGATTTGAATTCAAAAAACTGTATTTGATTTGATTTGATTTGTTCTAAATGCAATTTGAAATCAATTCGAACTTCTAAAGATTTCTTTTTTAATATACTGTATTGTTTGATATTATAACAAGATCTTAACTAATTATATGTGCAGTGAGTTATATATAGAATATCATGTGTACATCAAATGTGGACAATTTTTTATTTTTTACATAAAAGAATTTTTTTTAATTAAATGAACTTTATTATGGTGGAAAGTAAGTTATTTTTTATTATTTAGCAATAAAACAAATGATTACATTGATGCAATTATGTGACTTGTTTTTTGTAGATGCATGAGCTTCAATATCCTCCTCTGGCCAAAATGGCAAGAGATTACCTTGCTATTCCTGCATCTAGTGTTCCAGTGAAAAGAATCTTCTCTGGCAGTGTTGATTTAATAGTAAATCATGGCTCAATTTTTTTTGCCTGCCAGTGTCTCTAATTCTCTTTAAAATCTGATGCATAGATCACATGATATTTAAATTTCATGATTTTTGAGTATAGACAATCAGTACTGTAGTGGTTGGGAAGCAGTATTTTTATTAGTGCTTTACTAGTATTATGAACTTTCAACCACTAAGGCTTCTGGGAAATTGTCACACTTATAATATTATTAGAAGTTTTCAATTAGGTTACATTTCTAGAACAATGCTATGGAGAGAGAATCTTCATTTCATACAATTTTTTCGGAAATTGCAATTGATAGTAGTATTATGATAAAGAAAAGAAATTTTCTGTATTTCAAATGAGTTTTTTTTACACCATTGGTATTTTTACATCCATTGGTTATTTCCATACACATATAAACTCGATAAGTCGGTTTTGGCCTAACTCGGCCAAAATTTTCCGCCCCTTTTTTTTACTATTTAAAAAAATTCGATAAGTTGGTCAATCTATATAAAGTCGCGATAAAAGCTAAGTCGGTCAGTCACCTAGTCCGAGTATAATTAAATTAGTCGCGATAAGTCGGTTGCACGTGATATATTACGCACATGACTAAGTTTTCGAATTTTGATTGGTTGTTAGTTTTTGTTACACGGGACGAAAAAATAAAATTTATTTTTAACCATAGATTATATATGTGGCTTTATTTACGGTTTGATTAGAAACAATTGCGAATTATTAGCCAAATCTATCTACATAATTTTTATCTTGTCTCATTAATTTGTTAAATCTGTGAAATTATTATCAATTAACCTTTGTTTGAATAAAGATCTATCTGAAATAAATACAATCAATTTCTATCCTTTATCTCGAATAAAGATAACAATTTTAAATCCATGAAAATTATCTGAAATAAAATTCATCAATCTATCCTTTGTCTCAAACAAAGATAACAATTTTAAATTCATGAAAATTATTAGATCTGATTTGAAATAAAATAAAATACAATCAATTTCTAACCTTTTGTCTCAAATAAAGATAACAATTTTAAATCCATGAAAATTATCTGAAATAAAATACATCAATCTATCCTTTGTCTCGAATAAAGATAACAATTTTAAATCCATGAAAATTATTTCTAATTTGAAATAAAATGAAATACAATCAATTTCTATCCTTTGTCTCCTTGATTCGTAGAATAAAGATCCTTTACCAAATTTCTTATATAAAGGATGAATTTACTGCCATGTACCTGTCATTTATAAATTTAACTATATTGTTAAAAATAAATAAATATTAACTTCGTTTAAAAAGAACAGAAAATAAAATTTTAATTAAAATGAATGCTGAAGGAACATCTGGATCTACTAGTAAAGGCGGAAGTAAAAAAGGAAGGAAATTAAAAACTCTTACAGCTATTAAAAAAAAGGAATTATGTGAATATAAACGTGATAATCCATCCAAGTCACATGAAACAATTGCTGAATTATTTGAAATAAGTAAATCAACTGTGGGTGATATTTTGAGAACCAAAGATAAATGGCTTGCAGTTGAAGAAGATTCAACAGATGCTAATAAAAAACGTGATCGTGGAGGTGGATGGCCACAGTTAGAGGAAGCATTGTTGATTTGGGTGAATCTTGCCAATGAAGCTAACTATACAATAACTGGTGCGATCTTGAGTCAAAAGGCAGTGCAATTTGCTCAAAGACTTAATATTTCTGATTTCAAATCATCACAAGTAAGCATCAATTTCTTTTTTTTTTTTTATTTTAAATTGTGGTGTTAATTTTATCAGATCTATTAAATATCCATCATTGATTTTTAAATAGGGATGGATTTCAAATTTTAAAAAAAGAAATAATATTAAAGAACATTATAAATCAGGAGAAGCAGCAAGTGCACCAATTAGTGAATTACCTGCATTTAGAACTGAACTACAATCTATAATTGCACAGTATGAATTGGAGGATGTATATAATGCAGACGAAACTGGTCTTTATTGGAAATTAGAACCCCATAAATCTCTTGCTAGTGGACCTCTCACTGGATTAAAGAAATCAAAGGATAGGATTACTGTGATGCTTGCATGTAATATAATCGGAACTCATAAATTACCTCCAGTATTTATATATAAATTTAAAAATCCACGCTGTATTCATAATATTGATAAAAAATCACTTCCTGTATGGTACTATTGGAATAATTCATCATGGATGCAACATTCTATTTTCCAAATGTGGATTAGACAATTTAATCAAGAAATGAAAAAAAGGAGAAGAAATGTTTTATTATTAGTAGATAATGTTTCATCACATCAATTGGAAGAAGGTGAAGAGTTGAGCAATACTAAATTACATTTTCTTCCACCAAACACAACTTCTCATCTTCAGCCAATTGATCAGGGCATAATACGATCATTTAAAGTAATTATAATATTCATCTTTTTTTTTATAAATTTTATTTTTAATATTAATAAAATTTGCCTTATCTTTGTATTAGGCTCATTATAGAAAATTACTATGCCAAGATAGGATTCAAGCATTTGATGAGCACCAAGAATTTGGTGTTGAGATTCCAAAATTAAATATTTTGAATGCAATTAATTGGACTGCACAATCTTGGGATAATGTAACTGATGATACAATCTACCGTTGTTGGCAAAGAACAGGTATTCTACCTAATGAGGAAATGGAAATATTTGAAGAACCAGATGAATTAGAATATGAAGAAAATGATGTTCAAACACTTATTAATCAAATGAATGTTGAGGATATCACAGCAAGCAACTATATTAATATCGACTCTAGAATAGAAATTGCCGAAATGATTGATGATGATGAGATAATTTCTGCAGTACAAGAAACACCAGAAGAAGAAGAAGAAGAAACCATGAATACACCAATATCATATCCAATTGCTTTAGATAGCATTCAAAATCTATTTGACTATTTGCAACAAAATTCTGATATAAAAGTAAATAATTCAGTAATATCGGGATTGAAAGACCTACAACATCAAATTAGAAGAAAACAAAATGCATCTCTAAAACAACCTACCTTAGAAAGTTTTTTTTATAATAAATAATGAGAATTGTTATTCGCACCTCCCATTTTTGTTATTCGCACCCCTCCCGTGACTAAAACAAAGATGAACCAATAAAATCATCACATTTTAAAGCCATTCATTGTCACATTACTACACTTAGTCACGGGAGGGGTGCGAATAACAATTCCCTAAATAATTTTATACGTTATTTTAATTTATTTTGTTTTAAATATTTTAATTATTAAATAAAAAATCTGATTGGATATTTTATGTAGATCAGTTTTGATGTAAAATTTGATAAGTCGGTTCTCTCGATAAGTCGGTCATATGAGCTCACCCCAGCGTGACCGACTTATCGAGTTTACATGTGTACAATAAAAATTGCCCGAACACGTGATTTCAGAAAGGAAAGACTGGACACCATGATGATCAATTCATATATGTTATAAACGTGATACTTCCATGCATGTTAAATTTTTTTTTTATTTTAAAAACACCTGTAATAGTTGAATTAAATTCCTCTGAATATATACTCTGAGGATCACTGCGAAGTTTACAAGATATAAGAAATTACTAGTCAAAAAAAATTTCATTTTTAAGTATATTTTTAAGTTCACTTTTCACTTTTTTACTTCAATAATGTTTAAGATGATAAAACCAAAAATAGTAACAGCTGTCAATGAATGTCCTTAACAAAGGCGGAATACTGCATGCTCTATTTTAAAAAAGATATTAGTTGAAAAAATGTGAAAAACATATCAGATGAAACATATTAAATAGGTAAAATAAAGGATCACAAAATTATTTACAACAATAATAAGCTGTAAGAAAATTATATATATTTATACTCATTTATTAATCACTTTATTTGTATATACATAATTTGTTGTTTATTCATTAACAACTAAATATTTATTATAGATATAAGAAAATTCAAATTTATTTTCTCGAT